AAAAAAAAAAAAAAAAAGTACCTGATAATCATTGTGATCCAGCAGCCAAAATCCTTGAATAAGCTTTACGAGTCCACATGGGACAGAAAAAGCAGTAGGGAATGATTCTATAGCAGAATCAGGCTTGTCTGGAAAGGAGTACATGATGTCCAATAAAAAATAAATTGTCTGACAAAAGGTTAAAGAAATAATCAGAATCAGGCAAAAGTGAAAAATACATTTTATGATTTGTAAATATTGTACTAAACACGTGTAACTGCTTAGAGCCACTAGGATCATAAGCATACATATTTCCTCTGGCAAAGTAAGCCGTGTACAGCAACATCTAGGGGCTAAAGCGCAAACACCCCCAGGGACACCAGAGGAATGGCTACAGATGCAGGGCTTTATATATTTGTATGGCTCAGACTTGCAGAAGAGGGCATCTAAACAAATGATCCTGCCTCTAAGGGACAAGAAAGCGTGTTTACAGAGAGGTGTTGTCTCATATACAATGGCCAGGCAAAGGTGATAAGAGGCAAGTGTACACTAGGCACAACAAGGGTAAGTTGGTTTTAACATGGTCAAGCCACAAAAGGGAACTCAGTTGCCGAGGTAGCCCTGCTTTAATTGCTTTACCATAAAATACTAAAGTAACAGACTTCATAGAAAGGATACAATAGCATGCTTGCTTATTTCATCAGCATTTTCTAGGAGATACAGATCCAAAAGTGCCTGAAAAACAAAACAAAATGGATTAAGCAACCAGTTTCCCAAATCCAACTGAATGACAAAATAACAGATACATACATGTAATGTGGCAGGTGGATATTTGCCTGTGCCTCCATCTCTCTTCCATAACTGCTCAACTTTTTCCCCAAGGTGGCAAACCATCCCATCAATCATCAACGAACTGGCATTCCATTTGCCTCTGTGAGTGAAAAGGGAAGAGGGGTAAATATTTTACCCTTTTTTTTTCAAAGCACAATGAAACACATTTGGGCATTACAATTTAACGAACAATCCCCTCTAGCCACACAAATTACCGCATTTTGCGCACCCTACCATAGGCCGCAGGGGTTCTGTGACAGCAGCTACAGTTAGTGACAGCTGAGACAGGTGGCGCTCTGATTACAACGCCACCTGTCTCAGTGATCACACAGAGCAGACGAAGAACGGACGTGAGCTTCTATGCCGTGGTCACGGGTCCCCCAGAGGAGTGGGGGGCCCCGGACACGATCGCCGCTCAATTTGATACAAGTGATCTGATTAGATCACTTGTATTAAACAAGCCGGCAAATCACTTGTATGTAAACATGCATCGCGGCCTGTTTTTACATTTTGGCACTTTCCCGTTGCGCACACGAGTGGGCGTGGCTGAACAGACGTTTAAAACCACCCGCTCAAATCCAGGGAGCTCCCTGCTGGCCGTCTTTTTACAACGGCTGGCCGGGAGGCAGCTAAACTGATGACGATTCCACCGGATTTGTGCCATGCTTCTCTTGTTCCGGCATTTTCAGTAGGTGTCGTTTTGCAAAGATTTGGAGTAGTCATTTGTATCACTTCATATTTTCCTCCTGCATTTAGCCATCTAATCTGAAAATATGTGCAAGCTCTAGGCATTTTACTGCGGGTTTTCTTTTATGTAACTAGTTGTAGATCTCCATCCTATTTCTTCAGACAGTATATTAGTGAGAGGTAGATATTAGGATTTATTGTAAATATTTAGTAGCTTACCTAGATACGTTATCTAACTTCTTCCGTCGCTCTGCGTAGTACTGCTGCATTCGATTGTAATTGTAGCAAGGCCTGGTCAACTGCATAGCTTCATCTGAACAAACACAGGGGGCGGGGAAAGCAAGTTTAGAAACATAAAAATACCCTTACATTTAAGCAGCTTGAATTTTAAGTAAAAATTAGGATTTTTGCACTCATTATAAAATCATTTACTTGGAGTACAGCGACACAAAGTCATGCTGTTTGGTAATAGTGCCACCTACAGGAGCAGGGGACTCTGGAAAACAAATTGTAAGCCACTACCAGCAGCATGCCTCAGTTTTTTTTTTAGCAAAGCAGTACCAACAACATAATCAAATAGAGGGGTTAGGGCTGTGTCCCTCAATGGATTCCAAGAAAAGGATTTTGAAGCTCAGTTAAAAAGTGTAAATAGAGTGAACATTTTCTTTCTTACTGATATTTTGAACTTCCATTTGGTTTTTATTGTTGTCCCGGTCGCCAATGGGGAGATTCTCACTGTTCCAGGACTCCAATTGAAAGAAAATCTAAGATTTTAAGTCTGAACTGGAACAGGAATAGATGAGGACAATGAGTCCGGTGATGTTGAAGTTAATTTTCCTTACTCTGAAGAGATTGCATCTTACTTCCGGTTGTGTCTATGGGTCTAGAAGTAAAGGCTATTTTCCCCAATAGGCCATAGACAGCAACCATTACCCTGTGTATCAGAGGCACCATCCTTTGCATATATTTTCAGTCCCAATTAGCACAGTCATCTCATGCTGTGCTTTGTGAATGGCAAAGCAGAGTTACTGGAAAGAGACCACCAGAATGGTTTTCATTTACACCAGCTTTGTTGATGCTGGCAATTGCCTGGTAGTACAGCAGGTTCTTAACATTCCAGGTTGGGCAAGCTTTAAAAAAGTTAGGAGAAATACAAATGCCTGTTGTAGGTAAAGGGCTAATTGGGACTGAAAAGATACAGAAGGATGGGGAGAGTTGGGTTTTATTTTATAAGCGTGGCAAAAAAAAAAAAGAGGCAACAATGCCAAATAATTTGATATTTTGAACAATGGATTCCATAACACCAGCATAGCATTAATCATTGCCCAACAAAGAGGGGCCCTGCGTGGCACTGATCTTTTAATTTAGCTTCTGTTGATTTTACAATTAAATTTAAAAAACATTTGAAGATGCAGTCTATCGTTGATCTCAGGTCTACAGTACTGTTAATTGGGTAGTTAGAAATAACATTGTTTCACTCACAGGGTTAAAGCCATTGAGGTTAAGGGTAGGCACTATCTCAATGGTGATGTAATAAAATGAGAACACCTTTTTTACTGAGATCACTGAAAAATGATGTTGGTGCTATCACGTAGAGTCAATGAATTATGGCCACACGGAATGAATTATTTTAGATATTATAACAAGATAATATTTATATGTTAAGTTTTTATAGTTAGAACTTGGGTGAAGGTTGTATGGAAATTATTGTAGTTTGTCACAATTAATTACCAAGTATATGTATTAATAAAATGAATGAGTAGGAGCGCTTATGAAACTCGATAAATAGTTGGAATCTCCATCGTTATCGATGGGTGTAGACCTCTAATTAGAGTATTTCGGATGAGGTTACCTTTTTGGGGTGGTTTTATTACATTATATGTTTGAAATGGTTTCGGAGATTAATAGACTAAAATATTGGGAGGACTGCTTCAGATCTGGTGGACACCAAAATGTTTAAATGAAACATATACCGTATGTGTTATGGTATAATTGATTGTTTATTTTGAAAAAAACAAATAAAAGACTTTGTAGGAAAGAAATAACATTGTTTCAGAAGTTTCTGGGTTCCTTTAAAGCACTTTCCCAGGTCTATTTCACCTGCAGTTGACTTGCATTTGATCTACTAAGTTGCAATAAGCTGCTACTGCATACACATCAACTTGCATGACAAGCAAAGCAGATCTGATGTGAATAAAAACCCCATACGCAGACCATATGTCTCACTGGATTCTCTACACGATTCCATTACATTTTATTTCCAAAAGGTTTCAATAATTAGCACTATAAAATACAAAATCGCTTTTTCCTCACCTGAGTAATCTGGTAGAAGCCCACATCGACAAAACCAAAGCACAATAGAGGCATACTGAGCTAAGAGCTTTGTCACTGACTGTTTATTTGCAAGATCAATAAGCCCTATTGAACAAAGAAATTAAAAATTAGATAAGGCAAAATAATGCAAACATATTGCTTTACTGTAAAAAAAACACGCTCCAATATGGATGGCGCCCAAGAAACATTTTACAGAAAAGCTTCAAGAGCTGGTCTACAAAGTAGTTAAACAAGGGAGATGGATTAATCTGCCCTTAGCAAAAATGGCCATTGTGAGACGAATGGGGGAGGGGAAGAAAAATAAGGTATACCAAAAAATAAAAAGCCAGCAAGTATCTGTTTGTAGATCATCATTACTAAACATCTCTAAGGGTGCTTTTGTTGTTATTTTGAAGATATGGGTACATTTACTTTTTTTATGAGTCTTGCCTTACCTTTGCAATTCAATCACATCAGGGGTGCGGAATTCCTATCACCCAACACCCGGGACATGCAGTTCCAAGTGCTTGGCAGGTGTTTTTTTCTACATTTAGCCCTGATCAGGCAAGGGCGGCTAAATGTACAGCGGAGAAGCCGCCGCCCATTTTCTACAAGTTCCCCATACTGCCATCCAGCACAGCCCGGCGCTATGGATTTTGAATTTCGCTTGCAAATTGCAAGCACTCGGTCAGGTGACCATGCTGACCAATGAGGAGCACTTAGCACGGTTGAACACAGATTTAGATAAAATTATTTTTTGTATCACAACAATTAGATTGTCATGAGGGACAAGTAGATTGGGCACCCCGCTTTAGTCCTTGGACAAGTATTTTTTTTTTTTTTTATTTCCACACCCACATCGTCACAATTTGTAGTTTACATAGACAAAAATGGAGCAGTACGGGCACAAAGAAAATAAGAACATGCAGCTGTGGGATGTGACATTAACGTGAACATGTTACTTTGGCACGTTTCATTAACTGTACCAAAAATGCAAAAAGATTAACTAGGCAGAAGTGCTTTGAATTAAATTTCAGAGTCAATCACACACCAACCAGATATAGTGGTAGTTGTTTGCATCTTACAAGGATAACCCAGTTTAGTCTTATTTAATTTTATCACACCAGAAACAAGACAGTGATAATTGCAGTACCTTGTTTAGTAAGTTCTTGGGCTTCCGTAATAAAACAGTTCAGGACAGTGGTCAGGTTGCGGAGACGCAGCTGACAGTGATGTAGAGAATGCAGTGTTTGAGGGTCAATAAAATTACAAGATCCATCAAACAACGGAAGGCCTGTGAAGCAAAATACCATATTTTAATAAATGGTAAAATGTAAATATATACTGACTGTCCAAACAATAATCCAAAAATTACTTCAATATTAAACTGTGTAGAGGACACTTACAGAGTCTGTCAAATTCTCTCTTTACAAGAGACACTTTATTCCACGTCCACTCCAGAACAAAGCGCAAGTTGGTTGCAGATCTTGGTTGCTCTTTAAACAAAATGTAGTACTTAGTACCAAAAAACAAAGCAAATGTAATATTACATAGCAATGAAGAAGAATAAGTAATACTTACCTTCTGCAGTCCATAGTTTGATACAGCGAGTTAAAAGGCTTATGGAACTAGTTTCAACAGCTGTTGATAACACAGCTTGTAACTGTTCTTCCTAGATATTAAAACAACGTTTTAAAAATTACGCCAAGTTTTGCATTTAGCAACAGCATATTGGTATACAAACTTAAAAAAGTGCTTACTTGACTCAAGCTTGAAGGCTGAACATCAGCAAGTCTTGGAGACAATAGACCAGCTACTAAGCATCTACTATAGCCATCAGGTATTGTTTCATTTAAGGATGAGCCAGAATTCTTCAAAAAGTACAGAGTCTAGTTTAAAAAGAAAACAAAAAAATGTTGTGCTATTTTTATTGTTCAGCTGAATAGCCGTGGTTTTACATCGTCAGGGACAACAAAGGGGACATTTAGTGCCAGCCAACAACCAGCAGTGGTTAGCCTTTGCCAAGTGGTGATAAATACCCTACAATTGTGGTGCCCCACCCGGAAGCATCCAACAAAAGAATAAAAATACTCATACCAAATGTCTAAATATCGGAGTCTTGGATCTTAAACCAGCACCCTAACTTGGATACACATACCCTTAGATATCAATGACAGGGTTGATTAAGTTACGAGGGGTGAGGGGAGCACCCACTAGGAACTGACTACAGAACTATTGGCCTTTTTCCAAACTAGCACAGATACCGACCATTAGAAGGACCTATCTGATTTTCTTTTCTTTTTTTTCTCTTTAATAGTTTTATATTTGGTTGTTGACACTGTATTTGCACTTTAATGTTTATATAGCTGTACAAGCGACATTTGATGCCAAATACTATGTAAAGTGTTTTGTTAATTTTATACTGAAATCCAATAAAAAAACCAAAAACATTGTTACATAAAAACAAAAACAAAAGAATAATAAAAATGAGCAATAAACAGGATGGCGTAATCACTGATGGATTTTTACTGCACAAGTTTCTAATTAGAATCCGATTGTGTGCAAATCAAACTGCCTTTTACTTTTTCAACAGCTTTTTGCCTCTCTACAAACTATTACAGTTGGCTGCACAGGGTTGCAAAGACCTGCAATAGGTTTACCATAAAACCTTTTCACTTAAAACACAACTAAAAACCATGCCCCGTGTCATATTTTATATTAGCACAATGCTACTTTTGCATGAAAGAGGAGAATTTATGATTTAAGGTACAATTTAATGCTTCACGTTAAGGCTCTTAATGGCATATCTGTGCAACAGAATGGATAACTATCACTCGTGATGTTCAGGTATATTACTATGAAAAGACTGATTGACATGTTTAAAGCATTTAGTGGCTAATATACCAAACACAGGCTATTAAAGTAGACTAAAAATGACCTTACCTCTTTCTGAAACCCAGTGCAAGTAATATGAATTAGTCCAGAGCTCAGCAAACATGTGGCATCTTAAAAATAGAGGAAAAGAAAAAAATCATATTGCAAATAAATCACACATTTTTTTTTTGGAGGACTAAACACAGGTTTTATACAGTTAGCATGGCCAACATGGCAATTAATTGCAAGTAGACAGAATTTAAGCACTTCTAACGGCCAGATCTCCCTTTTTAGAGAAGCTGAGTAACTAATTAGTTAAGTGCTAATTAGTTAAGAAAACAAAAATGCATTGTTCCACTTTCTTCATTTAAAAAATTAAGAACCTGTCAGTGAGTAGTACAGAATGTAAATGCAATATGGGAAAGAGCAACATTTCTTTCCAATATCCTATACAGTGTCCCCGTGTATCCCAAATGAAAAGATGATTAAAAGAACCTTTCACCGATTATGCACATCCATTCCGTCGCTGCCTGTGCATGGCAAAATTGAGGCAACTGTCAACAGAACGCATGCTACCAAACTACAGTTTATGCGTATATAAAAATGGAAAGCTAATGATCTACATACATTTAATGTATTACTGCGATTCACCTAAGCTTGATCCAAATATGCACACAAGAATAGCAACCAACATCTAATGTATGCAGATAACCAAGTGTGTAATCTGAGCTTGTCCCACCTCAAACCAGAATCCCAGGGGCTAAAGGAATACAATCCGGAAGCAATTTAAAATATAAAAAGATATATTACAAATTGGTACATATCAAATAAAATAACCTATAATAAATGACCTGGATGAATGAGAACCTTCACAGACTAATAAAAGAACCTACGGACACCAAATCACCTAGTGTAAATGAGGCCTTAGAGATATTGTAGTCTAAAGGGTTTTAAGCTATTTCAAATGCTGATTAAATCATTTACAATGGATACTGCTTCTTGATCGAGTTTTAGTTTCCTGCAGAATCAGCTGGTCTAAGCACTGACCTGGACCCTGAGGGACTGGATATACTAATCTCCAATTGAACATATATTGGGTATCAAATGAATGTAGTTGGACATATGGGGATGTGAGACAGTTTATGGGCTTACGCTCCTGACAAAAATAACGCTTTATAGTGTGATCTTTTGTATACATGTTTTTATACTATTTATTGTATATAAAATAAATTCTATTTGATAAAAAATATCTCCAAACTGTGGTGTTATACCTCTCTTCAAACCCGTTTTCTATGTTAATTGCCTAAGGGGGACAGGTTGCAATAGGAGGCCGCTGTGTCAGCAAGTCACAATTGTGTTGTTCGAAATATAACAATGCTGTAAAAGTTCTGATTGTTACTGTAAATAATTACCAAAATTGTAAGTGCTGGGGTAGAAGAATTGCTCTGGAGGTGGGTATGATGTTGGAGCTCCTCTGCTAAAACTCCGCTCATGCACAAGCATATCAAAGATGCTGTCCTGAGTCACATTCACCACAGCTTCAAGTGACCAGAAAGCAATGTAGGAGCAATTTCTGAGAAACTGACCAGGCCTGGAACAAGAAATTGCATGGTGAAATAACAGTAAGAGTCTAACAGTAAGAGTCTAAAGTATCAAATTGTTTTCCCTCTGTACTCTTACCTTAAAGAATCAGGCATCTGGGCTTGATACCAACGATTTATGTCAAACACTGCCATATAGATTGATGGTTTACCATGCCCATAAGTAGATACTTGCCAGCTGAAGATTGTGACACTGGTATCAGGTGATGAAACTGATGAAAACAAAAATTTATACCAAAATATTTAGAATAAGCCGATATTAACAAATACATATATAAGACAGAAAACCTAAAATGAGCGCACCTTCATGAAGCCCATCTTCTCTTTCACTATGAGCACGAAATTTTTCTATGGTCTGACAGCCCAACAACTTTGTACTGTTGGTTTGACTTCTCAAAGACAATGACAATGAACTAGCTGAAAGATCCAAGCTGTATCTTTCCTCACAATATTCCAAGTGCTGTATAAAAAAACAAAAACAAAATCGTACGTGTAAAAATGCTAATTGTAATACACATCACTTCTGCATTCACAGCCCGGACGGGGATCAGCAAGGAGCTGATCTCCCGTCCTCCTCCTCCTGACGCCCTCGGAATCAAGGTGCCACGAACGAGCAAATATAGGCGATCGGCGGGCTATGGACCCGCTGATCGCCTATATGTGTAACACCCGGTAACGGGTGTGTGCACTGATCGGGTCTTTTCTGCCCGTGCGTGCCCGCTAGGGGGGCGCGCGCGAGCAGAAAAAAATTGCCGTCTGGAGACGGCAACCCGCAGATGCAGCAGTGCCGTCCGTCCGTTTTTCTACTACGGGCGGACGGCAAGAGGTTAAGCTAATCTGCCATGAATATGAACTCTGAATGTCTGAAATAAAATGTTATTAAACATCTACATATAAAAACAATTGCCCACGATTTTAATGTTGCAGACCCAAAAAAGTAGGGAAAAAATGTGTTGATATTGGGGAAAAGTTTTTCTTCCAGTGAACAACCATTACTTTTATGCAGATTTACTAATGGAGTTAAGAATCTTCAATCACATTTGTGGCTCTGTTCACGTTGAACCAATCCTGTGCAGAAAAAGTAAGAAGTTTGCTTTTTGCTTAACTTAAATCGAACCTTCATTTCAGTAAATTGAATGAAGATTATCAATTTTAATGGAGGGAAAAAACATCTCAACCTAATCAAAAAGACTGGTCTTCAAGAATCCAGGTCCTTCCACATGCACACGCCAACCATAATAGTTCCAATGCGACAAAGTCCATTTTACCTCTGGAATGCAGGATGTGAGTCATCCTAGCAGGACATGGTCACCCTAAGTTCTAGGACCTAGTTCTTAAAAACCCGGAAACCTCCCTCGCCAAATTCTCCTTCTCTCCCTAAAGAAAATTTAGGATGACGTTTAGGGCAAGTCTCCAGAAAGGTCTTATCTGTGTTAAAAATAAATCAGACTTGTGTACGTTTAACAGACAACCAAGGGAGGAAAGGATGTAGGATAGGAGTCCAAGGGTTAGGGAGTAGATACTTATCATCTGCAATTAAAAGAATCTCACCAGGTAGCAGATTCTCTGAAATCTAACACTGCCTTCAGAAATAAAACAATGTAAATAATCTTGAGGGTGAACAGACCGACCAAAGGGCAAAGCCCTGAATGTGGAACATGCAGCCTTTCCAGCAGATTGTTATCCTTGAGGCTCCTCGAAAAGGCATTTGACTGGGAACAGGTCATCTAGAATATGGGAAGGGGTATTTTTTACAGCTTTGTGCTTCTTGTTCCTAAATAGAAGAGTTGCAGTAGAGGTACAGTATAATTATTACTCTAAACCAAGTAAATAGCTTGGAAAACACATGTATTTAAAGTCAAAACATATTTTTAAAGTTTTGGATGAAGTGGGGAATAGTTAACATTTTAGTCTATTTTTTTTTTCCTGTCTGTAACCACAGCAATAAAACAATGTGAAGTTCTAACCACTTCATACTCAATACAAATGTGTTGTGGCAGGAAGCAAGGTAAAGTAATTGGGATATAACCCAAGATAATGGGTGGGTGCTGAGATGACAGCAGATGCCTCTGCATTTCAGTATCACGTGGTAGAAAAGTCACTTGCACTCCAATGAGAATTTCAGTCAGAGTTTGTTTGTCTATACGGTTGCGAAACATTCCAATACGATGTGACAAGTCTTTTGTCCATAAAGAACATTGACTGAAATTCTCACTGGAGTGAGTGACTTTTCTACCACAGGAAGCAAGGTAAAAGCTCCTGGTTAAAGGTTCTAACTTTTCCCCACTCTATCCAAAAGTAAGGCTTTAACCCCAGGTTGACCTGGTGAAAGTTGAAGGATACTTTCAAATAGCCAACACAAAGCCAAAGAGATGATAGCAAAATAACACATCTAACTCACTCTGCTGAAAGAATTATATAAAAAGGTAATGTAGTACAGATGTTCCTCACTTACCGACTTACCTGTTTTGCGGCCACTCGCACTTACGACGGAGCGCCGATCGACCTCCGACCTTGCGCGTCAGCGCGCCGTGTCGCCGGCGGAAGTGGTGTCCTCCGATCATTGCGGGTCCTGGTAAGTATTTTCATTGCCCGATGTACAGTACACTGTTCGTTACTGTACATCAGCAACGCTATACTGTACTAATGCAGTACAGTACAGTATAGAGTTCCTCACTTAACGACCAATCCGTTTAACGACCTGGTCGTAGGAACGGAACTCGGTCGTTAAGTGAGGAATACCTGTATATGAAACACGCATAAATAAAAGCAGAGAGTCTACTGTATTTGCATATTTAAGGGCAAGAAGTGTTCAAATACATTATTGTACCTCATAAATAATTTGTCCCGATGCCAAGCATTTTCTGTCACCGAACGCCAACTGCAACAAATGTAGGCTTATATCTTTTCCACTAAAATAGAAAGTTAAAATGATTACATTATACATACTTACTATAAATCTACAGTAAGTCAATGCAAATTCTTCCAAATTACACAAACCACCCAGTAATTGTACAATATAAAACATGTCCATCAGTGGGCAGTACAGGATCTGGTATTTGGCAGTGGAATTATAGAGTGGGCCTTTGCACCAAGTGGGAGCAGGACTTAAAATAGTACTCCAGGAATTTTTGGTGGGGGCTACCCACCGCACTGCAAGAGTTAAGTGCTCATTTGTGTCTAGCGGCTAACATAACCGATATACTCGCCCAAAGTTTTAAGCCGACCAGCTGTCACGGCACTCCCCACAGCCTGTCCCCGCCGCAGCAGCAGATTGGAATGTTCCTCCGGGTCCTTATGTCTATGCACAGTGTATAGACGTCATGATTTACTGAACCTTAAACCGCTGCAGAGGGGGAGAGATATTACAGGGACTGGGCTAAGAAGAAGTCAGCTTGGGAGTTTTGGGTGAGTAATTCTTTGTTTTTTTAACCTAGACACAAATGAGCAATTAAAAGAAAAACCTTGAAGTTCCGCTTTAATCCCAGCATGGAAAGATGTTAGGGATTTGTGTACAGCTAGCGTTAGTATCCAAGGAGCTCCCCATAGACCAATTTGAAGACTAAAATAGAAACTTGCAGGCACCAGGTTACCTTTTGAAGCACATCAAGTAAACTTATTGGATGTACATACATAACTGGGGGAACCTGAAGTGCTTCAGAAGCAATATAGCTGACGTTTGGGAAAAGAATGGCGTACCCCATGTATAATAGAATGGATTAAAACACCAATATTGTCCCAAAAAAATAGGATTTTTGTACTCACCGTAAAATCCTTTTCTCTCCGTTCATTGAAGGACACAGGCAACAGATCGTAGATCCTGAATGGTAGGGTAATATCGCCACCTGCAGGAGAAGGACGCTAGGCACAAAACTAAAGACCAATTACAGCCTAGGGGCGGCCCCTGCCGGTGGCCAAACCCCCCACCTGCTGACAAGTCTCCAGTTTAGTAACAAGCAGTTAGGAGTGTACACCCCATAAAGAGGGCGGGGCCTGTGTCCTTCAATGAACGGAGAGAAAAGGATTTTACGGTGAGTACAAAAATCCAATTTTCTCTCCCGTTCATTGAAGGACACAGGCAACAGATCGTAGATCCTGAATGGTAGGGACGTCACCAAGCAGTAACACACTGAGGGATGGGCAACAACAAAACACCCAAAAGACCCCTCAAAGCGCCGCCTGCAACACTTTGCGCCCCAAACCAGCATCCCTCGATGCTAACACGTCCACCTTGTAGAACTTAACAAAGGTGTGAACAGAAGACCAAACCTGAGAACAGAGGCCCCGTGGCAGAAAGCCCAGGAAGCCCCAACAGCCCTAGCAGAATGGGCAGTGACAGGAAACGGAGGCTCACGCCCCTTAACGGCGTACGCCTGAGTCACAACAGTACGTATCCACCTAGAGATGGTAGCCGCCGACACGGCCCGACCCTTACGAGGACCCTCCGTGAGCACAAACAGGGAGTCGGTCCCGCGGAAAGAAGCCATAGATTCCAAAAAAAAAAAAACACGAAGAGCGTGGACCACATCCAAACAGTGGAGCGCACGCTCCTTCCTATGGACCGGCTTCGGACACAGGGAAGGTAAGACAGACAATGTCCTCATTCAGATGGAATGCCGACACAACCTTCGGCAGGAACGCCGGCTGAGGACGAAGAACCGCCTTGTCCTGATGCAAAACCAGCAACGGGGACATGCAGGACAAGGCAGCCAACTCCGACACCCACCGAACGGAAGTGATGGCCACCAAAAAGGCCACTTTCTGTGCCAGACATAAGCGGAATCCCCCGAAGAGGTTCAAACGGGGATTCCTGCAACACTGAAAACACGAGATTCAGATCCCACTGAGCCAAAAGGCGAGCGGACAGGGGGAGCAATGCGCGACACCCCCCTGAACAAAGGCGCGACCCAGAGCATTAGACGCCAAAGGCCGCTGGAAAAGCACCGCCAAGGGAGAGATTTGGCCCTTCACAGTACTCAAGGCCAGCCCATGAGCCACCCCGCGCTGCAGGAATGCAAGGATTCTGCTGATGGAGAATAAACGCCGGGACAGGGCCCCAACCTCACACCAGGCAAAGTAGGCCCTCCACGTGCGATGGTAAATCTTTCTAGACACCGCTAGCGATCTCTGAGCATAGTGGAAATAAACGCATCGGACAACCCCCGGTCTTTCAGGACCAGGCTCTCAACAGCCACGCCGTCAAAGCCAGCGACTGTAAAGAAGGACGGAACACTGGTCCCTGTGACAGAAGACCGAGGCACAGAGGCAAACGCCACGGGCGTCCACCACCCGCTGAACCACGTCCGCGTACCACACCCTCCGAGGCCAGTCTGGGGCCACGAGGATGACGGTGACGCCCCCGGCCGTGATCCGACGCAGCAGCCGAGGCAACAGATACAGAGGGGGAAAAGTAGACCGTAAGGACCCCAAGGAGCCACCAGGGCATCCACTGCACCGCCCAGGGATCCAGGACCCGGGCCACACACCTGTTCACCTTCCGGTTGAACCGAGACGACAGAAGATCCACCTCTGTCGTCCCCCAGCGACTACACAGCTGCCGAAAAACCTCCGGGTGCAGAGACCACTCCCCCGGATCCACAGACGATCAAAGACCCTGCACGGTCAAGGAGCCCAGGACCCTGCCCCAGCCCCAAAGGCAGGCGTCCGTGGTAACCGCCGTCCAGTGCACGGGAAGGAAAGACTTCCCCCGCACCAGGACCGGGGATTGAAGCCACCACCGCAGGGAGGCCCTTGCCTCCCGAGAGATCCGAATCTCCCTGTCCAAGGACAGGGGGGACTTGTCCCACTGCACCAGGATGTTCCTTTGCAGGGTCCTGGTATGGTGTTTTGCGCAAAAGGCACCGCCTCGAAGGAGGCCACCATGAGACCCAGGACCTGCATGCAAACCCAAATGGGCGACCACTGGCGAGTCCTCAGTAGCCGGACCTTGGAACGGAGCTTCAGGAGCTTGTCCCAGGGAAGAAAGACCCGGACCGCGACAGTGTCCAGAACCAAACCCAGATACTCCAGGCGAGGCGAAGGCACCAGGCAAGATTTTCGCAGGTTCAAAAGCCATCCAAACTCCTCCAAGGACCGCATCGTGACCCCCAGAGCTGTCACCATGGAAGAATGCGACTCTGCCCGCAGGAGCAGATCATCCATGTACCCCACGATCGCAACCCCCCAACGCAACAGCGCCAGAATCGGGGCTAGCACCTTGGTGAACACACGTGGGGCCGACGCCAGCCCGAAGGGCAGCGCCACAAACTGAAAGTGGTCCTCCCCCACCTCGAAACGGAGAAATCGCTGATGAGACTCGCAAATGAGGACATGAAGGTATGCATCCCGGATATCGATGGAGGCCAGCAGATCCCCTGACTGAGCCATGCCACCACAGACCGGATGGACTCCATCCTGAACCGACGGACCCACACAAAGGTTTTCAAGAGTTTGAGGTCCAGGATGGGCCGTACCCCCTCTTTCTTGGGCACAGTAAAGAGGTTTGAATAAAACCCTTTGAATCTTTCCGCGGAGGAACAGGCACAATCACCCCCTGGGACCAAAGGTCCGCCACCGCGCGATGGAGATCCGCCAACCGCGAAGGGGATAGTCGCGTGTTGGACGGGAAGAAACGGTTGCCCGGCCGGGACAGAAACTCAATCTTGTAGCCCGAAGAAACCAGCTCCCGGACCCAAGAGTCGGAGACGTGGGCCAGCCAAAAATCCGCAAAGAGCCGAAGGGGCCCGACCTTCATGCGGACTGGGGCTTGCCGGAGGGTTTGGCAGACTTGGGATGGACTGGCAAAGCCCGTTTCCTAGGCGGACGCTGCGTCAAGGCGCGCTCAATGCGTGACACAAAACCATCCATGGCAGAGGAAAAGACCTCCAAGGACAGTGCGGTACATGCAGAACCGACCACCCCCCGTGAGGAACCCGAGGGGCGCACCGGAGACTGGCAAAGGAGCGCAGGTGTGCAGGCCGCACAAAGAGGGGACCTAGAGGGGTCCGCAGAGCGAAGCCCACAGCCCTCACACGGCAATGCAGCCCTCACACGGCAATGCAGAGGAGTCATCCCTGCGATCCATGGCTCCCACAAAAAAACACTCCCCAGACCGGAGACGACCACAGCAAGAGAGAGAGAGAGACCCAGCAGTACTCACGATCCCCAGGTCATTGTCTCAGCCCAGCACCAGCTCTGCAAGGTGCAGGAGAGCTGCACACTTGTGTCCGTCCTCCGCGGCGTCCCAGGCCGAAAGGAAGACGCTTAGAGGAAGCCCGGGCGGAAGTGACATGCAAGAAAGGGCACTTTGCCCAAATCCAAGGTGGCGGCCAAGCAGCAGCTGCCGCGGGTGCGGCCGACCCATCTAAAAACGGCCCCAGGCTCTCCCAGTGTCCCAAGACCACCAGAGGAAGCCCCACCGAAGTCCCCGCCAGCCAGGGACCGAGCCGGAGCAGCTACAAGCTAGGGAGGGCGCCTGCCCACATCCAACATGGCAGCCGTGGAGCCGGCCGGAGGCCGCGATCAGACCAGGGCCTCGAGTAGTGGCCGCTGCCGCCGAACGATCGGCAGTAGCCGCGGATGTCTCTGCACACGCTGCAGCAGCTGAACACACCCCCATCCCCTAGCCCCCCAGCGGCAAACCCCCACAGGAGGTCCAGCCACCCCCAGACTGCACACCATGAGGTAGGAGGGGAGGGGGGAACAGGCAGCCAGGGAATGCAGCTGTGACAAACAGCGCAGCCCCAGCACAGCATCTTACCACCTGAAGATGTCACGAGCCCCTCTACAGTCTCCACCACCACATACATACCCCCCTTCGAGGATCCACAGTCAGGACGAGTAGGGGAGTGGTGGACACAACGCCCCGACCGTAGCCACGGCGCCGCCAGCCTGCGCGGAATGCTGTGACAGGAAGGCCAGGACCACCTGTCATATGCACCCCACCGGGACGAACCCATAGGCGTCGAGAGGAAGCCAAAGTCGCAGCCGACCCACCGTGGCAGAGCCTGCATGCGCTCGTCGGTCACGCAGGGGAGACTACAAGGATCTAAAACATCCAGCGTGTCGCCCTGGTGACACTTGCTTGAAGAAACAGCGAAAAAAATGGAGGAAAATAAATTCCCAAAGAAATTTTTTTAGCTCCTTACTCCTGATGCTAGGCAAAAAACTGGAGACTTGTCAGTAGGTGGGGGGTTTGGCCACCGGCAGGGGCCGCCCCTAGGCTGTAATTGGTCTTTAGTTTTGTGCCTAGCGTCCTTCTCTTGCAGGTGGCGATATTACCCTACCATTCAGGATCTACGATCTGTTGCCTGTGTCCTTCAATGAACGGGAGCGAAATTATGTTTTTAGAAATCCTGTAAGCTTCTCAAAAGCCATTTCTACTCCTAATGGAGCCAATGAGTCCTTGTTTCTACAGTGTGTATACAGCAACTGTACGGAGATCTTGGTAATTATGCTGCCATGAGGTTTGAATAAAGGAGACTAGTCAACAAAAAAAAAAAGCTACCTGGCAGACCCATGTTTTCAAAAGTAGGGCTGCAACAACTAATGGAATAAATCGATCATGAGAATAGTTGGCAACTTTTCTCATCATCGATTAGTGGGGAGAGAGAGAGAGAGAGAGTTTTTTTTATACAACCAATCGATTAATCGGAAAAAGTAAATCGGTTAACAGATTATGTAAATAATGGTTAGCTGCAGCCCTATTCAAAAGTCTGCAGGTTAGAAAAGTTAGTTTTCGTTATCTGAAAACATTTTCTGGGTCAGCATTTCCAGAAGAGGTCTACAATGGAATATCCCATAATTCTCTTATAAGAGAAATTTTTTAAATAGAACCTTGAATCAGTGGAACATACCTCTGAGTGGCCTGAACAGCCCAAAGATAGCAGCAATTCCGGGGGTCATTCTCAGGCTCTTGAAAAGTAACTGCAGACACAGGAACCTTTCCCCCTTCAATTTGAACATGGTATCTGTTGCAAAGATGTGTATATAATGGAAAGCATGAGAATCCACAATAAAATTATGACGGAACACATTTCTTTGTAGTCTCTTGTAAAAAGAGGCAGTAAAAATGCTGCAGAGCCTACAATATGAACTAAACATCTCTACATATGGAGTCATTGTCAGAATATAACCAATTACAAAGCAATCATATGAAAACACAAGTCAGCAAGCAAAATCACACTCGAATCTCAATCATGTACATAGGAAAACTCTTCAGGCCATTCTATGCCAATTTTAAAGAATAAAGCCAGAACATGCCAACCCTAAATATACATTCCTACCAAACCCTAAAACAAAAAAGGACTCACTCTCTTCGTAAAGTTTTCATGTTCCATAAGGAGAGATATCCATCAGAGAATCCAACAGCCAGCTGGTTAGTTCTGCTTATAAAGCTGAGTGCAGTTACTGACGTTCCAGATGGAGCTAGCAATTGAAGACATAAATGTCGACGTTCTCTTGATGCCGCTTCTCGCAGTTTTGGAATTTCGGCTGGAATTCCACTCATTACTTCTAAGTCTGTAAATTTAAACTTGAATTTACTTTTATAAACTGATACAATGCTTCAACCAGACAAATATATGCAAAAAAAAATGGGTATTCACTGATTTTATGAAAGTGAATACCCTTCGGTGTACCTGTAGTAACAGTAAATTTAATAATGCTAGGAAGTGGACCACTTGTCTGAGCCTGCTCATACCACACTTTTAGCCCATCACTGTAGCTGAAACTACATGCAAGCACCATAGCTGTTTTACTCAAGTGGTCAACTTCCAAGTTTAGAACTGCTACGTGTTTAAAGCGGAACCCCAGACTTACCTTCAGTCTGATTTTACTGCACACTTTGAGATGCCATTCTGAGCTGTGAGCGAACAAGCACACCCAGGCTCCCATAAGAGCAAAGACTTAACTCACCACCAACATGGTGGGGACCCTACCAGTGAGGTTACAGCCACCGGCAAGATTAAGAAGACATGCCCCATCCTATTTTCCGTTGCCTATTCAGAGGGCATACCCTCACCCTTCCCCTTGCGGGTGCAGCTAGAAATGATTTGGTTCTCTGAGAGAAGTCCGTTCTAAGCACATTAGCATAAAACTGAGGCTCGCTGGGAGTGGGAGGGGTTGTATTTGGTTGGCTTGCCAGTGTGTAATCTCATGAAGGAAGCTGCATTAGCCTAACTACATTATTACTCTGGTGCCTCTTAAATGTACAACTGAGAAATACATATCCATCTTCACACAGAATGACACTATTAAGATTCCAGTTCCAGCAAAGATCCGGAATTAATGGTCTTGTGTAACAGAGTGGGAGTGGATTGCAAAATAAGAGTGCAGTCTAATAAAACTCCACAGATGCAAGAAAAATAGTAACTAACGACTCTCCTCTGTATGTTCTAATGTGAAAGCTACCTTTAGAAAGTGTGAGTGATCTACAGTATGTGAACTACCCTTTAAAGATGCAAGCTCCACATTTCTAGCTTCACAGGTTATCTATAAAATTAATTTACACAGGGAAAAGAATTTCATATCTCAACATTTTACAATAGAGGATTGGGTGTAAATATAACATTCCTTAGAGGGGGAAAAAAAAATAGAAAGCAAGAGTACCTGATGCTTCCATCTCATCCTGATTTCCCGATACATCATCCATGCATAAATCAATAAGAAGAACATGTCCAACATCTGTAACCACTGCAGCAACACCAAAGAACCATCTTAAACTTTGGTGTAAATGTTGAGTGCTTGCACTAGCTCCACCATGATTGATTATAGGTTCAACAGACGTTACCTAAGTATACATAATAAAAAATTAAATTGGAAGGAGGGTTAGTCAAACTTATGTAAAAGTACACAGTTGTATCCTAGCTGATATTACAGCAGGCCTGTCTGCTATACAACAAATAATTCTGTTGACATTTTAGTCAAGTAACGTCTGACTCCAAATGCTTTGTATTAACTCCACTTTCACAGCCAAATTTGTGAAAATGAAATTACCTCCACCAATCTGCTCCATCTCCCCCTCTGCGACTGCCAGTGTAAGATCTGTACCCCGAACACTGCATCAGAGCACTATGTATTCGAAATGACACTTACAAATGGCAAGCACTCATTGATCAGCGAGGTCAACTGACCAATAGGAAGTTCTACTGACCAATGTATGGTCTCCATTTGCGAGAGTAAATTGAAATACATAGCACGGGGCTGCAAATTTGTGTATGGTGCAGGGACCGTACACCGTGAGCCACAGAGATGAAGCAGCGTTCTTTCAAAGTTAAGCGCAGCGGGAGATGACAGTGAGGATAATTCAATTTTCCCAAATTTGCTAGGGAAAGTGGCATAACCCTTTACATTTGGAGTAAGGAGGAGTTAATGTTTCTATCAGCTTTTAATTTGTGTATGCGACTCCGTAGTTATATACACGTAGTTTCCCTCATTATCCATTTATATTACCCTAGTACAAAAAATGGTGATGGTGGGTGCTTCTTCACACGACAGGAAGGCAGACTCATACAACGTTAGGCCTTGTTCACACCAAATGCAGACCAGATCCGGTCAAGTTTCTGCACACGCAGTGCAGTGGGTTGTGCCGCGTTTTGGATGCGTTTAGGGCCGGTTTTGGTTAATTAAAAAAAAATGTTGTTTTTTTTTAAGTTTAACATGGGCTTTCAGGCACTTGCATGCGTTTTAGATGCGTTCCAGACCAGATCCAGAGCAGGTAAAATAGGGCTTGCCGCAGTTTTTTCATCCGGTCTGGATCTGGTCTGGACCCGCACGCTGCGATGTGAACTGGAGGTCAAAATACCATAGGAATACATTGGACACAGTTTTGATCCGGTCTGCGCCTGCTCTGGTCTGGTCTGGATCTGCTCCGCGCTTGGTGTGAACAAGGCCTTAGGAGTTCCAACTAAAAGTGTGTTGCATCCTCAAAGAGATTGTCCAGCATTTCCTTTCCCGACAGGTACAGGTTGGCAATAAACCCCAAACAGAAGCCCTAAAATTTTCCCATTCTACTAAAAATGAAAGAAGATGTTTTGACTGGAGTTGAGATTTAAAGGATAACTGTACTTTTAGAGAGGTAGAAAGTGGGGAAAATAAAATAACTATACTAAAGTTTGATACTCATCTGTCCACACATTTCATTAGATCCATGCCCTGTGGCCAACAGCAAGGAGAGATTGTAGTGGTGGCTATTTTCAGTTTCTCTGTGGGCTGACTGTGGATCTGGCCGGGGCGTGGGTAGGGGAGAATAAATGGTGTTTGAAGAGAGTGTAGAATTAAAAGGACAATTTAAAAGTTATCCTTTAAGCTTTTCCAGAAACCTTTTACTTATGTACCACAGATCAGCAGAGGCTCTTAACTGGCACGGGCAACTAAGATCAATGCAATAAATGAACACTGTACACCTTTGAAGTGCATAAAAACACACAAATGCAAAAAGTACATACCGAACCAGGAACTACGACAGCTTTAACTACTCTTGAAATGCCAACATCATACAGGCAGAGAACGCTGCTTTCTGCTTCCACTAGTCCCACAAGTAATCCAGTCTTCTTTTGCCAGGAAAACTCTTTGACTGTTACAACAGTAGGAGGTCGTTCAGTCACTCCACTAAAATGGTAGGCAGAAAGTCTTTCACCAGTTACAGCATTAGTAACTTCCAGCTGAGGTCCACAAGCCAACCAAGCTAGTCCAGCTTTACCTTTAAAAATAAAAGTAGCAATAGTTATCCCAAAAATTTAGACACTGAGGGGTGCGTCTGTAGGAAAGTATTCTAGCAGTTCTTAAATTGGTTATTCCTTTCTTTAGGTATATGTGTACAATAAGCTTTTGTATAGCTTCCAGCAAACTTCAAATAGCATTTAAGCTTTGAAAGAACCATTCAGCTCCAGTTTGGGTAGGTTAAGCACAAAACAAGCTGCTAGCAGGTGTCAGCAGCACTTAAAGCATGCTATAAAGCTAGCTGAAGGTTGCTAGCTCCCCAACTGGATGCTGTACAGGTTGCTCTTAACCACTTGCCATCCGGGAATTTTCTTACTATTTGCGCACACATGATAAAATATACATTTTTGGCTAGAAAACAGCTTCAGACCCCTAACAATGATATATTTTCTGAAAGCTGAAGCCCTGTGGAAAATATAAAAAAATGCTAGGTGCAATTTTTTACGTTGCACGGTTTTTGCGCAAATGTTTATCAAACCCATATTTTTAGGAAAAAATAAACTAAATTCAAATTTAGTGCACAGAAACCTAATATAATACCCAATTTTTTGGTAGAATATGAAAGACGGGATCACGTTGGGTAAATAGATGCCAAACATGTCAAGCCTTAAAATAGCGTTTTTGGTATTTGGAAATACCCAAAATTTCCAATAGGGAACATTTTAAACGTGTTTACCGTTAATCAGTTTAGTGCTGTCATTGACAGTGCTAGAATTATTGCTCTCGCTCCGACATTCGCGGCGATATTTAAAATGTGTAGCGCAATTGTCATTTTCGCACGTAGGCGCACCGACACGTGTTTGCGTGTGTATGTGCACGTGGGGGACAGGGGTCTTAAAACATTTTTTTCTCCATTTTATAATTTTTCTTTTAGGTTACTTTCATTTTTAAAACTTTTTAACACTTTATTTAATTTTTTTCCCCACTAACCCTATTGCTACTACATAGGGAGCTAACAAGCACCTTATGTAATAGCAGATAGGGTGTGACAGGTCCTCTTTATGGAGACATCAGGAGTCTTGCAGACCCCTAATGTCACCTAGGGACCCCAAAGAAGCTGAGGAAGCAGAGATCTGCTTCCCCAGCTTCATCTCCTGCCTCTAAGAGGCAGAGACTGTACAGTGACACCGGAAGTGATGTAATACCGCTGAATCTCTCTCCAGTCGCTTCGGGGAGACCCGCCGA